ATAAAATTGTAATAAATATTCATATAAAATACTTTTCATAGAATTCATCGGCGGCGGATTGTGTCCCTTTTGTGGTTATGTTTTGGATAATTAGCAAATCCTAAAATACATTCTCCTCTGTGTAACGTCGTTTTTTCTGGAAGTATAACCATTTTCAGTACATTTTCACTGCATTTCCACATCTAGATGGCCCGTATTTTCAAATTTTCACATGACAATCAATGTTTAATAATAAACAACAGAAGTTACACCAACTAGCGATTCGGTAACTATTACCAAATCCTCCAGTTGGCTCAACCTTAACCTCTCAACTGAGCCGTTCGGTAACTATCAACGGGCCATTCAATTGTTCTTATTTTACTGCGAGATTAGGTAACAGTTACCGAGCCTGTGTAATATCAACCGAATCCTTCTATCAGTGCACTGAATGATGTCTCATTCTTTCTTCGCCATCAATACATTGATGACGGGCTTCCGAATAATCTGAAATATTACAAAAGTTTATAGCTTTACAACACTAACTGACAGAAAAAATTTCCATGAGTTGAGATGCTTGAGAGAATTGAACGATTGAAGAAAAATTACTTATCTCAAGTAAATGTGTTTCAGATATTAGAATTTTTTTCTCAGTGTAAGAAACTTTGTCGTTCCTCTTATGGAGAAAATTATCATTAGTATAAATTCTGATGGCATTGCTTCGTAGAAAAGAAATTGTGAGTTGAAGGAAGGAACTCTGACCGGTGTAAGAGTTTCTCACAGTTATATTTTTCCAACGAAGGACATCCTTACTGTGTTATTCACGTGCATCCATTGCATTATTTGCGGATTCCCAAACGATGCCATAATTTTCTCGAGACAACCACCAATCATGTTTCATTATGATAATTGAGTGAAGACTTGATTACACAGAGTGACATGAATCGCATTGAGAAATAGATGGAATACTTCCCATTGAGGGAATATTACTATGATTGTTGATGGAATCGTTCAATGCTGATGTGAATTTTGATGTTTGGAAACCGTGAAAATTTTTGTTGGAAGAATTCTTGTTAAATTCTGCAGTACTTGGAAATTCGGAGTTAAAGTTTAGAGTTCAATGATACGTGGTCAGGAATTTAGGACCAAAAATTTGTTAGATGATAAGAATAAAGGCTGCCTCGAACCAACGGTGAGAGACCCAATGCGCCTCCATTTGTGAAGAACAACAATCGATGGTGGTTCATTAATTCAACGAGAATTATTGAGTACTAACCGCCCTACCTCGTAACGCGTAGACGCTCAGGTAAAAGCAAGAAAATTACTATGAAATTTATTGAAGCCCAGAATGTTCTAGAATAATGTAAATTTTACATCAATCACGTATGTACACATTATAAGAAAAACAGATTTATTATATGACAGATAAATATTATTGTTTCCACAGATCCTGAAAATTACTATACTGAAAACTAATATAGTAATTTCCTATGAAGGCTCTCACTCTGTCTGATAGCTGGACTGAAGGGAAATTATTTTAAATTACACTCGTTTTACCGCCCACCATTTTTAAATTAGAAAAAAAATCATTCAGATTTTATATTTCCCCTTAATACAATTTCCAGACCGGAACTACTCGTTTGTATTTCTCCCTGTTTATCTTTTCTCAACCATAAAAATGAATGAAACACTCGCTAAGGATCAATTACTTAGACAAGCTTTTACCAGGACCTCTAAACTACTCCAACAGACCAATATACACCTGTCGGCAGGTGTGGTGGGCGTTATTACCCGACGCCTCAGAGTGTTTTCCTGTACCACTTCAACGCATAACCTCCCATGCAAGATAAACGTAATTTCTCACAACAAATGACTATAGAGCGTTCGGACATTTTCACATGTGACCATATATTGATCAACTACAGTCTTATCGATGATGAAAAAAATTCATTATCCCCAGGAGTACATTATATAACGATGGTACTAATTGTACCGGATGTTGCAGGAAAATTGTTCCCGTGAGATTATTGGCCTGATCTCCCCATTTGTGGCAGAATCGTGGGAGCAGTGGGATTAGTAAGGAGGGATACGATTTCCTCCGCTAGTGGTTGAATTATAAATTTACTCCGAAGAACTGCCCAAGAAACTCACTAATGAGGATGGCGATAATTTATTAAAATCAGTTACTTAACATGTTGGCGTCATTAATATGTCATTCGGGTAGATTACGATTTTTTCGATAAAAATTCATCTTCTTCTTCCTTTGACAGAACACCTTTTCGAAGGTATGTGGAGATCTGGTCAAGATGCTCCTCAATAAGCCTCTGGCGTTCCTCTTTTATCTTCTGCCTTCGAATTTCTTCATTCAACTTTTCCTTCTCCCAATCTGCTTTTAATGCAGCAACAGCCGCGTCTCGAAGTCTCTGTCTCTCATCTATCAAATCTTCCAAATCTTTCTTGTAAATTATTTGTTTTCGTCTTCTTGCCTCAGCTGTCAATATGGACACCCTTTCGTCCTCCATTATCCTCGCCATCACTTCATCCGCAAAGGCCCGATCTCGTTCACGACAATGAGCTTCAGATTCCACCGAGAACATCATTTGTTCTTTCAAATCTTCAGCAAGTTGATGCTTCTTCTCTTTCACTTTGCACTCGAACTCGTACTCTGCGATTAATAACTCCTGTCTAATTGTCTGAGAAATTAAATCATATATCACTGATTCTCTCTCTCGTTTTCTCGCTTCACTGTCCACAAACAATTTAGCTACTGTTTCAATAGCCATTTCACGTTTCTTCTGCTGCTCGTCCCGCAATTTTCTCATTTTTGATGACCTTTTCTCAATTTCATCAAGATACTTTTGCTGGTTCTCGAAAGCAATTGCCTCAATCTCAATTTCCTTCGTGCGTTTTATCTCACGCATCTCCTCGAAAATTAAACGCTCACGTCTCAATGTCTCAGCGAGTTGATTACGTCTTATTACTTTCGTACTTTCATACTCTTCGTCGATTATTCTGTCCACCTCGATTAAGATCTCCCGCTCTCTTTTATCAATTTCTTCTTGACATAACTTTTCGAGAATTTTTGATTCCATCTGTTTTTCAAGAATTGATTTATAGTCCTCACGTTTTTTTGAAGCTGCAAAATTTCTCTGAATTTCCTCTTCGAAATTTCTTTCATCCTGAAGAGTTAACACTTTTTTCGATAACTTATCACGAGCTTCTTGTGCAATGCGATCTGCCTCTTTCTCAGCGATTTGAGCCTCGAGGGCTTTTAAGGCGTAGGCGTTACGAAATTGAGCCTTGAGTTTTGCCAATTCATCAACAGACTCTCTATTGCAATCACGGTAATGCAATTTTTCAAATGATTTGCCTGACATTGTTGATTATCTTAGGAATTCTGAATGGTCCTACCTTGGAATGTTCTCCTTGAGGGCAGTTATTCCGAATAGTGTTTGCACATTCGAAGATCAACACAAAAACTTTGAATGGATTTCACTGAAGTGTGAGATGACACAGAACAAATACTAAATTTTATCTTTCACGCTGAGTATTATACTGGTCTTGTTGAGAATACGACGATGCGGGACCGACTAACCGGCTTTGCGCCTCACGGCCCAGCGGGTGGGGACATCCCATGCGGGGCCCGGGCAATAAAGCGGGGTGGGGTGAAGCGGCGCGCGCACTTTAGTAGGGGAAATAATTAGTTCCGTTGGGAACAAATATGCCGAAGGGACGAGAAAGGTAAAGCCTGTTGTTTTAGCTCAGGGAAGCAAACTAATTCAGTTATTTTCCTTTGTTTTTACATGGTGAATTGGGTGACTGATGGTGAGGTAACACGAATGATTGTGTGTGAGTTGATATTCTTTGACTCGTCGTTTTTTCAATATTTAGTTATTTAATGATTAAATTAGGATAGAGCAGTCTGTTTACTTTGTGGGGATACGGAAAGTGAGTTGAAAAACAAACTGACATTATTCGAACTATATTCGTCTCTAGAGTTCATAATAATGTGTAAAGTGAATGAAAATTATAGACTTACAACTGAAGACCATTTTCACTTGGATGATAATTATAATCATTAATATCTGTTCAACAGTTTTCTCAATAATAGATCTTTTTATAGGGAGTCATGTAATAGGTACGTACTTCAAAGTACACAGGCTTCGAGATATTATTGAACAACATCCTCACCCCGGAAAATCGATTTTTGATTTTCCATCGAATGGAAAATTCTTAAACCATTGTTTATTATTTTCGAAATCTCCCACCCTTTTAAAATATTCTTTCCCGTTATCCTTCTCTTTCTGTTTTAATTGCAAATTTTAGCTAAAAAATGATTATTTTTTTAGATCATGTAATAATTCTTTCCAAAAGATTTTTCCATTATTGTAGTTTTCTACTGTCGTTCTAGGCTGTTTGGCTAGTTCATCAGCTTCTGCATTTATTCTAGTCTCCTTATGAGCTGAAATATACATTAATTCTATGGTGATTTTTTCTTCTTCCAATTTTAGGATTTTACTCTTCATTTTAACGATTTCTAAATAAGAATTTGCCTGCCACTGGTAAAAGTTTAATTATAATAAAGAACCTAACGAGTCTGAACAAATCAAACTAAAATTGTAACCATCTATTTATGCCCTGCCTCACTCGTATGGCTGACCCTTACAGTTGTTAAACCCTTCAGATTATTCCATCCGCCTCTACTGGTTGACAATTGTGGTCGTTTGACCCTTGACATTATCTTGCTTGCCTCGGTTGTTTGACTCTTGGAATTATTTCACCCATGCGAGTTATGATACTGGCGACGTTTGACTCTCGAGAGGTATGACCCAGGCGATTGTTGGCCCTTGCGAGGCATAATCATTGAAAGGTATGATTCTTATCATGTTTCAACCTTTCATGAGGCGTAAGTCTGGCAAGGTATGATTCTTGCGTAGGATTTGAACTTCGCGGCGTTCAACTCTCGCGAGTCATGACTTGCGGGATATGATCCTTGCGACGTTTAACCATTGAAAAAATCATAAATGATTATAAAAATTATAAAAATTATAATGCACATTTTTCAGTGATTCAATTCAATGGTTTCATCCCCCATTGTTTAAATAAATAATTGCAATTTTTCCTAGTTCACTGTAATCAATGATTCACCAATTTCATGATTTGTCACGCTGTACAAATTATACCGTACATGAGAGTACCTCTGAAGCACTAAAATACGCGATTTCGCGTGCTTTTTAAATGGAACAATTTCAAACGCAGTGATAACCCCCTAAACATCGGTCTACAATGTCGGTTCAGCATCATTCTTCTATTTGAGTGATATACTAAAGGATTCTGGGTCCGCCGAAAGAAGCCAAAATGTGGGACCTGTCCTCCACACAGTTTTAGGAACACATCAGGTGATTTCATCTTAACCCTCTTACCTGACTAAGCTTTTTCTCACGGTCCCCGTTTAGCGTGCGATTCGGCTCTCCCCACTCCAGCGTCGAGAAAACAAGTAGAAACAATAATTAGGTTGGAGGGTTAAGGTTGACATCACGATTAGCACCCCAAATTTTATGTTCACCGAAATCTTTTTCAATTAATTCATCAGTTTTGTTATTTATTTCTTTCTCTTTTTTTTCACCCAAGCACAAGTAATGTATCCACCTTAATCAAATTCTATTGTCTCATCGCGGAACTGTACATCGTATACGAATAATTTAACATCAGAAAAACCCAAAAATTTAGTAAGAATTTATTCGTAGAATCTTTCCACTGTAAAAATTCCCCCTCTGTCACATAGAAACATTGAAATATTAATCCTTCTCTTATTCAAAAATATTTCATCATTATAGTCGTAGAACAACAGTTTCGAAGAATTCTTCATTACAACGATCATTTTCTTTATGTATAAACAGAAATTTTATTATGGCAAAACTTTGAACCCTCGAAATATTCTTCAATTTCAAAAACCTTTGCATCAGTGTACTCTCGTTCATTTGAATCAGTGAAAAGCTATTTCATTATTTCATTATTTTTTTTTTTTTTTGGTTCCCCTTCCCGGACATCCCGGGGAAAATGTTTGATTGTTTCGTTACCCGGGTACTTCGGACTCGTGACCAAATTTTGTGGCACCCTTTCTCCTTCCACGCTCCATTTTACCCATTCAAATATACAAAGTAATGAAAATGTTCATGCACTTTTCTCAACCAATAAAAGATTACCGACTTTTTCGTTTAGTTGTTGCGAACTTTTCGGATATAAATCGGTACATGTCCCCACAAAAATCAGTATTCATATCACTTCATTATTCGTTGGTATGACCTACTATTGGCTAGTAATTAAATTGCGACATTATAACATTTTTACATCCACTTTTCGTAATTTTAACTCTGTTCACAGTCCATTTTTATTTTAATTGTTTGACAATTTTGGACTAAGTGTATAGTATGTTGTGCATCAAGGACGGAAAGTCAAGACTTTCTGCCCGAGGTGCACATGCGATTTTTTAACACGCCTGCAAAGGAGTTTGTTTTTTTTGCTCCTTGATGAGCGGGAGGAAAGTATGAACTTTCCGTGCAGGGGTGTGAAAAAATATTTCTTTTTATTAAACTAAACACAGGTATCACCCTGTTTATCACTTTTTGATACGATAGATTTTGTTTCTGCTTCATTTTGACCATTTTATGTTTCCTTTTATATTGAGAACTAATAATAGAAAAGGAATCATATTGTACTGCACCACAATGAATAAATTTTTTAATTTCACTAGAGCGACTGGTAGATTTATGTTCTTCTGCACACTTGGGACATCTGATTTTTCCCCTGTATGGATCTTTAAGATAGCCAAATCTCACGCATTCAAAATGTCTTTTGATTTTGGCAATGACGCTACATAAATTCCCTTTTTTAATGCAAAAATGAATGCCGTAAGAAGGACGGCGGAGCTCAATATGTACCAGAAATTTGAAATGAGGAAATGGCTAGGACCCGGATAGCTCAGTTGGGAGAGCAGCCGATGCGAACATTGAAAGAAAAATGAATAATGATATTAATAATAATAACACAGTCACAATATTTAACCAAAACAACAAAGCTACTAATGCTAATGATAATTCTCCTATTGAAAATTATTTTACAAGTTTCACAACAAACTGATTTCGAAATATGTCCCGCATAAAACTTCGAGTGGTACAGATAAAATCCCGACTTGAGAAATTGGTCGTTCTGAGTCTTCCACGTATGTTCAAAGGCGACGATTCCTTTTGTTCTCGAATTTTTCTCGGGTTTTCGGGAACGCTTTTAGTCTTCCATGTCTTCACCACTTTATGAGGACAACAGAAGTCTTCATAATGTCATTGGTTGTTGCTGAGGCTCATCCTACCGCAGAAGACAAAGGATGACAAAACGAATGTTCGCAACAACAACCCAGCCGTAATGACACGTCTTATTTCCGTCTGTCCGTGTCTTCCATACATGTAGGGTCCATTAAGTAGGTAGAGGGGTCGAAGGCTCAATAAAGTCATAAAAATTTTATTATTAAATCCAAAATATTTATATGAAGACTGGTATCGTTCTGTTGTCACTCAAGTATTCAAAAGTTTGGGGACTTAGAAAAATTTTATTCTAAAGTTGGACTCAGAAAAATTTTACTCATCAGTGGCACTTGGAAACTTTTTTAGTAAGATTGAAATAAATATTACATTGACAAAATTTTACTGAGAAAACCGATTATGACGTAGATATAATACATCTGTCATGAAATTGGCGATCTCATAAATTGGTAAATTTTCCATTTTTTTTTAAAAGAAAAATAATTTTCAATTAAAAATCATTAGACGTGGTACCAACAAAACAAATTTTGTAAGTTTTTAATGATTCAGTCAAGATGTATCTTCAAATTGCTATCTCCAATACTCAGTGCGGAACCAGTGAACTCTAATGATGAAGGGACCACCATAAAATGGTTCCTGGAGCTGGAGGGGTACCTCATTCTGTTTCGGCGGTTCTTCCCTTTTTTTGTTGAAAAGAGGTATGAGCATGAGGATTGCAAGGGGGGAGGGGGTTAGGTATATTTCCCATGCAACCAACTATAGTATTTGAATGAAAATATAATAAAGGAAAACAATTAGAAGGTTCAGTCTTCCGCCGACTACAGCACGGAGTGCTTCGTTGATTTCTGTTTTCATTTCTTTTTGTTTTTCTGAGTGTTTTGTAAAATATCTACGATTGCATTGTTAAAAGATGAAACAAATAGAGTATCCCTACTGAGGTGTATATTGCGAAAGGATTAGAGTAAGAATACTGAATACGATCAACGTGAAAGCAGACACGAAAGTACTGCAAAACCTACAGTTTCAGAGTATCAAAATTGAGAGGTGAGTGTCTGAAAATATCAATTAATAATTTTTTAATTAATATAATTGGTGAATCCCATAAATTCAAAGAGCTTCTAGACGACTGATCGATGGTTATTCATGCTATCGACTTGCATTATTTAGATAATTCTTTATACTACTCAGTTTTTCCCAAAGAACTATAAAAGTTAAATAGTGCGATTGGATAAAATACCAAAATTTCTGAATAAGTCAAGAA